TATTTTTGAGACAGAGTCTCACTATGTCGCCCTCAGTAGAGTGCCCTGGCCTCACAGCAACCTCAAATTTTTGGGCTTAAGTGATTCTCTTGCCTCAGCCTCCCAAGTAGCTGGGACTACAGGCACCAGCCACAACACCCAGCTACCTGCAAGCAATTCTTCATAGGGTCGAGGTTGACAAAGTGACAGTTCCCCCCAAACATAATCACTTATTTTGGGAAGAGCATTTTCCAAACCAGAGAGAAGGCCTTGAGTTTAATTCTTCCCTATGCCCAAGTCAAACCTCACAAATCAGGTAAATACTTTAGCCTTTGAAGGTCACAACCCACTTGGGGCACCTGCCTGGCTCTCTGGCTTTGCTGGGCTGCTGCTCCGTGACATAGGCAGGTGCCCACAGCTGGAGGTGGGGGGAGCATCTCCACACCTGTGCCAGCAGTGGCTGGGTTCAGACTCCCACATCCAACCCAGTGACACACAATGACCAGGCCCTACTGAAGCACAGGTCCTGGACGCCACGGGTCCTTCTCAAGGCTCTTCCCCAGGGCCCCAAAGCTGAACATGGGCAAGAGGCAAATTGTGCTTTGGGTCACAGATCACCAGGGTGTGACCCAGAGCCCAGCACGCACATATCCTTGAGGGTATGAGCTGCTGACCAAGGGTGACAATCACAAGAACAGGCAATGGACAGGGCCAAGCAGAACGCAGATTTACACTGCACTGAGGAGAGCAGAGCACATGGGCTGGTGATCCGTGAGTAACGACCGGGAGGAGCAGGGCATACTGGCCGGGAATGGTGAGTAACAGCTCCCTGGGGAGCAAGGCAGGTGGGTGGGGGGCAAGTGACAAGGGCCCTGGGAAGGCCTCTCAGGTATGAAGACTTCTGTATTAGACAGGGAGCCTGGGGTTCTCTGGGGTGGGTCTTCCTGGAGAGAGCAAAGCAGACGTCAAGGCCCTGGGGCATCCAACCTCTAAGGTCATTCTTTTTTTAGAGATGAGGTCTCACTCTGTTGCCCAGGCTGGAGTACAGTGCTGTGATCATTACTTATTGTAGCCTTGTGAGAGCCAAACTAGCTCCATTTTGTTGTTTACAGCACAAGCTCCATTCCTGGCTGTTTACAGCACAAGCCCCATTCCTGGCTGTTTACAGGACAAGCCCCATTCCTGGCTGTTTACAGCACAAGCCCCATTCCTGGCTGTTTAGAGCACAAGCCCCATTCCT